AAGATGAGTTTCCCAGGCTTGTGCTAACTGTGGGAAAGGGAGTTTCATTGCTTCTTGGTGGCCTTCACTCTTGTTTCTCAGGGTAAGAGGTGAGCTGTTTATCTGAGTTTGCTGGGTGCTATAGATGAGGGGATTTCCAGGTGTCTCAGGATACCTCTTGCAGGGTGGTCTTGCCTAATCTCTTTACTGGGGGGTGGGATGCCTGGCCTTTTGCCCAAGAATGGAATTATTTATTTATTTCAAGCCTTTATGTACCATTCTTCATGGGCCTAGGAGTTCATAATTAGGGTGCTAATATTGATATATACGCACATTACACCAAGTCCTGGTCCAGCACTCTAACCACTATTCCACTCTTCCATCAACCACAGTCCTGACCCCAGGAGCAAGGGCAGATAGTTACACTGATTATCTATAATTTCGAGGGGGGACTGTGGCACACCCAACATCAGTGTGTGTGTGTGTGTGTGTGTGTGTGCACATAGGTGAATCCAGGCAGGCAGAGTGAAAATCAGCAGCAGCTCTGAGCTGGGCTGGAACTAACTGGAAGGGCTGCCCCATCAGGTTCCTGCACGGATGGGAAGCACCTGCCCCTGCAGGGAAGGATGGCCAAGCCATGGGAGCTCTCCTCTGGATGCCGAAGGAGGGAGGGTGGGCAGGCCGACTGGCCTGGAAGACCAAGGTGTTGGCATCAGGGTCCTCACCTGAGTTCTTGATCCCTGTCCCAGAGATCCCTTCCTCATCTGCACCAGTGTTCCCACCCAGTTCCCGCCATGCCCATTTATCCTGCCAAACCCCAACACAAAGACCCTCAGGGACCTTGGTAGTCATTCATTCCCCTTCGGTCCCACCACTTCTCATCCAGCGAGATCAGGCAGAAACAATGGTCGGATACTGGGCTTGGGGGTGCATTGTGTTTTGAGACAGGAGTGAAACAATGGTCCAAAGAGAGTCTGCTGGGGATGTATGATCAAAAGAACATTTACAGTTTATTCAGATATACAGGGAAATACATGTGCATTTAGGCAGTCCCTGAAGGGACTTTAAAGGTGGAATCTCTACAGCATGGGTCCTCAAACTATGGCCCGCGGGACGGATCCAGCCCACCATGCCCATTTATCTGGGCAGCGCACAGTTGCCTCACCGTGCGGGCGGGGAGGTGGTGGCTTGCTCACTCAAAGATGGTTTTGGACTCACTGGAAGATCTCCAGGTGGGTGAGCCACCGCCCTGTGCGCCCGATGCCGCCTCACTGGCCCGCATGCCCAGGCACCACCACCTCACCAGCCCGCGCCGGTCGCTACCACCTTTCAACTGGCCCCCTATTGAAAAAGTCTGAGGACCCCTGCTCTACAGGATGCTTTTGTAACCCACCAGTTACATACCCAGTTTGGCGGAAGGGTGGATGATCATATGGGGGAAAACATAAACAGTATACTAGAGGCACATTAGGATAGAACCTCAGGGATTCGAGACAACTCGAATCGAGAGTTTAACCTGTAATTGCTATGGTTCATAATTCCTACAAAGAATCAGAATGACAGTGTGAGCAATTTGCTGCTTCTCAGTTGCCATTCATCCATTTTTCACATACAGTCTTTTAAAAATGTAAAATATAATTTGGCTCTGCGCCATGGCAGCTATGCCATGGAGTACTGCAGGGGTCCATTTTGTCCCCCTTGCTATTCAACATCTACATGAAACCGCTGGGAGAGGTCATCAGGAGGTGTGGGCTGTGGAATCATCAGTACGCTGATGATACCCAGCTCTACCTCTCTTTTTCAATTGATCCAGGTGAGGCAGTGGCTGTACTGAACCGGTGCCTGGATGACGGCCTATAAACTGAAACTTAATCCAGACAAGACGGAAGTCCTGTTGGTGGGTGGATCAAGCTCCTGGGTAGGTGGCCTTGACCTTGCCCTGGATGGGGTTGCACTCCCTCTAAAGGACAGGGTCTGCAGCTTGGGAGTGCTCCTCAACCCGGAGCTGACTTTGGAAGCTCAAGTGTCAGTGGTGGCGAGGAGCGCTTTCCATCAGCTTCGGCTAATCCATCAGCTGCGTCCCTACCTGGAGGATGACTGCGTAGCGACAGTGACACATGCATTGGTTACTTCCCGATGGGATTTCTGTAAAGCGCTGTATGTGGGGCTGCCCTTGAAGACAGTCCAGATACTTCAGATGGTGCAAAATAGAGCAGCCAAGTTGCTGACAGGGACTGGGCATTACTCTCATATAATCCCAGCCCTCTACCAGCTTCACTGGCTTCCCATCGAAGTCCGGGCTCAATTCAAGGTGCTGGTTATCACCTATAAAGCCCTTAATGGCTTGGGACCTGGATACCTAAAGGAACACCTTCTTCCATATTTGCCCTCCCGCCCCCTGAGATCGGCAGCAGAGGCCCTCTTCCAGGAACCCTCTGTGAAAGACATTAGGAGGCAAAGTACCCGAAGGAGGGCTTTCTCTGCGGTGGCACTCACCTATGGAATGCGCTCCCCAGAGATGTCCACCTGGCGCCGTCGTTATTTGTTTTCCAGCGCCAGGCTAAGACCTTTTTATTTAAACAATATTTTAATAACTTTTTATATCATCTATAGGTTTTAATTTGCAGCCAGGGTGAATCTGGATATTATTTGTATTATTTGTATTGTGTTTATGCAAGCCGTCCCGAGGCTATGCGATGGGACGGCACATAAAAATTCTAAATAAATAAATAAATAATTGCAGTGGCCTGTCCTTTGTGTTCTGCTAAAGTGGTATTGTGCTATTAGCAGCTTCCTCCTTCCTCCTTGTGCTGTTTATTAGAAGTTTCCTCCTTGCCTTTGCAAACAATAAAGATGAATTTCCTCTTCCTTGATCGGCTCATGTCAAAGGTTTTCATTCTTTGTTTACTTTTTAAATGTGATGCAATATGATGTGTGTGAGAGAGCTGCTAATGAACAGAAAGTAAAAACAAGACACGCACGCGCATGTGTATGTGTAATTCAAGTGAGTCATTCCACCAATGTCAGTTTTACGTATGTTCTACAACATTATTTATGTCAGCTTTCCCCATCCTGTTGCCTTCTAGATGTGCTGGACTACAAGGGCCAGCCTCAACCACTGGTGGTGTTACACTCCAGCTCCCCTGGAGGGCATTAAACTGATTTAGGCACTTGAAATGCCCACCATCATCACTGAAGCCAGTAAAGATGATCAAGGGAGGAAAAGCTCTGTTGCTGCCTGTGTTCATGGGTCAAGTTTATGACATGGTAAAATCAAGACTGGATTAGAAAATTATAACTCCAGATATTCTCCAGTTTGGTGGCCTAATTTATTTGATTATAAATGGACCCAAGCTCAAGGAACCAAGGTTCAGTTTGGATGCCAGGAAGTACTTGCTGACAGTTAGGACCTGAAGGGTATGGAATGGGCTTTCCTGGGAGGTGGTTGAGGCCCCATCAGTGCGGGTGTTCAAGGATAGGCTGGACATGCACATGGTGGGCATGTCGTGAGCGGAACCGGCTGGAGCCGGGGGTCAGACTGGATGGTCTGGGAGATCCCTTCTGACTTGCTCTGTTTCTATGTTTCTATGATTATGGATTTGAAAGCTGTAGTGCAAGCACGTAAGGCCTAATTTAAAGCTGTTTTTCATGCTGAAAAATATTTGAAAATCCCTCTTCTTTTTTTCCATGAAAATGAGATTCTCAAAAATGTTTTCCACCCTGTAAAACCAAACAGGTATACAAGAATCCATGCACAATTCTGCTTTGGACTAGGAAGGATGAAGCGTTGGTGTTGATATTGCAGGAAATCCATTGGATGCTACATTAATCCTCAGCTAGTTCATCAAGGGGTGAGTCCACCTTGAACTGCTGCGTCAGAGCCTGGAAAAGAGTGAGATAAGCGGAGTGAAACGAACATGTAACAGGCGCAGGTGTGAGGGCTGCACTAATCTGCATAGTAGCATCTTCTGTTTCTGATTTGGCAACAGTCTGAAAGCAATCAAAATCACTCATCATCGTCCATAGATAGCCGGAGCTCCTAACAGGAGGGCAGGCCAACTGTTATGGTGCCTTTTCCCCAGCTCACTACTTACTCCTAGCTTCCCTGTTGATCTGAGCCTGGCCAGCTGCTCCCAGAAGCTGCAATGAACGGTGGGTGACATCTGTGCTTCCACTGGGTCCGGGCTGATGTGAAAGAAATTCTGTCCTGTGAAGGCAGGCCACTGACTGCCACCTTCCCCATCAGGAGACCTGTGAAAGGAGGAAAACTTAAGTGGGTCCAGTGGTGTAGCTGAGCAGGACTTTCAGCATTGAAATGGCAGGACTTTTCAATCAGTAGTTACAGGGGTCTCATCTGCCACAGCCCTCTAGATTTCCTGTTTCCTCTGAGCTCAGCTATAATCCTCAGGTTAGTTATGGGGGACAGGGAGGGGGAGCCAGAATAGATTTTCCAAGCCACCACATGCGATGCGTTCCTGTTGTAATGTAAAATTTTGTAGGATGACTTAAGGATGTAAGAACATAGCAAGAGCTGTGCTGGATCAGATCTAGCATGGCATTTCATTCACAAAGTGGCCAGCTACGGGAAACTCATGATCAGGACCTGAGGTCCCCAGCAACTGCTAAAAGAGAAGCCTCTGATGCTGCAGGTTGCATGGGGCTGTCAGGACTAGTAGTTATTCATAGACTCCTCCTCCATGAATTTGTCCAGTCCTCTTTTGAAGCCACCCAAATCAGTGGCCATCACTACTTCCTGTGACAGAGAATTCCATAGTTTAACTACGCACTGTATTAAGAAGCACTTCCTTTGATCGGTCCGGACCTTCCCACCAATCCACTTCCTGGGATGAGCCCAGGCTCTAGCATTATGGGGCAGAGAGGAAAATGTCTCCCACGTCACTTTTTCTGCACCTGCATCACTTAAAAAACCTGTCCTCTCTCCCCTTACTTGCCTTTTTGTAAATTAAGCCTTCTCAGGAGTTGCAAACTTTCCTCCTAGGGGAGTTAGTGCTGCCCCCAGTAAGTTTAGTTGTCCTTTTCTGCACTTTTTCCAAGAGTATCTTTTTCTCTTTTTTTGAACTCTCCTTGGGGTGTGGTCATGGGGCCTATAATGAGCAATGCCTGCACTTCAGAAACTACCTCTATACCTCTGGACAGGATCAGGCAAAGGAAAGAAGAAGCAAGCAAAAGAAATATGGTCATCAGTTAAAACAGTGGCACAGTTATCCAAAGTCTACAAAAACTCCTGGCCCAAACTGTTTTTTGTTAAATTGGTGGGGAGAGAATTAAAGCTTTCAGTTTTTGAAGCCACACTATTACTTAAGCCTGACTTAATAGGCTGGGAACATTTTAGAACATTAAATCACCTTTGCTCATAGAACTCTAACAGTTCAGACTTCTCAAAGTTTAATTTACAGTGCAATTTTACACCTGTCTACACAGAATTAAGACCAGCTAGTTTCAATACTTTCACATAAATGTGCATGGGGTTGCTACAATTTTGAGTATTTGAAGAGTGCCTAAAGCCTTCTAAAGTTAATTTAGCAGACAAAGATATAAAGTACATTTGAAAATGCAGAGTGTGGCATATCATGGGTCAGAACTATGGTTGCAAAGTGTTTTACTTTCAGACTAGTCTAGGAATCCACTGGTAGTGACAAGGATCAGGACTGAAGCTAAGACAAGTGATTTATTCTCAAATTGTGGGAGAGGAAGAGCCCAGCTGGCATCACAGTGAGCATCAAGCTGCTCAAAGACGGAGAAGCACATGGAGAATAAAAAGCACAAACAGCGAGAGAGCGGAAAGACTCGCTTACCCAGTCCTTACAAACTGACTCCAATAACGCATCACCCTTTGGCTCAGTATGACCTCGTCCTCCGTGAACGTGAAGTTGCCTCCTGCCCCAGACAGGGGGTCCCCAGACATGTAGGGCAGCTCAGCACAGTGGGGCACCCCAGTCCAGTCAGGTGCAGATATGAAGGAAGGGCGGTGAGTGAAGTAGTAAGCAAAAACGGGGCATCCGGCTTCAGCCATTCGGCTGGCCACTGCAGCCACCAGGCACAAGAAAAGGCAGTCCCCCGAAGCTTTGACCAGCGCATGGCGGCACTGCTCTTGCCCCTGCTCCTGCTGAGTGTAGAGGGCCGCTGCAGCTTCTAGAGTGCCCGCTGGAGCCCCTGGTGCCACCAGCCGCAGGCCCTCCAGTAGCTGTGGGTAGTTGATCAGGCTGTCATTCTCCAGGCTGAATCCAGGAGCATTATCTGAGAGGAACAGGGTGCCTTCATCAGGAGTGAATCCAGTCAGGACAGGCTTAATGGGGAAGTGCCCAGCTTGCAAGAGCCTCTGAGGGTCATCTGGCAGGAAGTCGCCATCTGTCGTTGGCACAAAGGGAACGTCCAGCAAAGCCTTCTGCTTTAAGATCGGCAACTTCTGCACGAGCTCCCACGGGCCCTTGGCCTGCAGGCAGGTCACCACAGCTCTGTCATCGTCCTCCACACAGCCCAAAATCTGGCCCAGGGTTCGTCCTCTGGTCTGGGCCTCCTCAGGCCTCACCCAAGCCCAGGGGCAAATGGCAGCTCCACTCTGCAGAGTGGCCCGAGCAAAAATAGGCTGGCTTGCTGGGGAGAGGAGGTGGAAGCCAACTGAGGCACCCCCAGCACTTTGGCCACCCAGGGTGAGCCGGCTTGGATCCCCGCCGAAGGCGGCCATGTTGTCCCTCAACCAACTCAGTGCCAGATGCTGGTCCCACAAGCCCACATTCCCTGGAGCAGCGGGAGGCAGTGAGAGAAAGCCCAGGGCACCCAGGCGATAGTTCATTGAAGCCACAATGATATTCTCATGGGCAGCTAGGAAACTTCTGTCGAAGGAGCCAGTCCCACTGAGGAAATCACCCCCATGGACCCAGACAAGAACAGGTGCCGGCACAGAGGGCTGGGGGTGAGGCACCCAGACATTCAGAAAAAGGCAGTCCTCTGAGAATGACAAGGAGGATTCTGGGTGTAATTCTTCTTCGTAGTCAGAACGTCTCAGGCTCCCCTGGTAGCAGGAGTTGCCAAAACGGGTGGCCTCCAAGATGTGGCTCCAGGGCTGATGGGGACGGGGCTTTTGAAAACGCAACTCCCCCACAGGGGGCTCAGCATAGGGGATGCCCAGGAAAGCTGTCACCATGCCAGCAGCTGTCATGAGGTGCTTGCCTCGGACACGGCCAGTGCTGGTCACCACCACAGTATCACCTTTGGAAGTGGAGCTGAGGACTAGGAGGAGGAGTGGGAGCAGGCCTGGGACTACCTGGAACAACCTGGCCATGCTTGCAACTGGAAAGGAACTAGCTCAGATTAATTACAGTGGGTGGAATATGGCACAAGACCCGGGCTTCCTATATGCCAGCCTCCCTCAACATCTCCAGATGTTTGGCACTTCAACTCCCATCAACCCCATTAACCAGCATGGTTAATGGTCAGGAATTCTGGAAGATGTAGTGTAAAGAATATCAGGTTATGGAAGGCTACTATAAACTGCCCTCACTGTTAGGGATTTGGTTAGATAACAGGAAAACATATTATGGGCCTTAGTGCTGTGCAAAGCTGTCTAGCTCCCTCTATAGATGTAACAGAGAAAAACTCTTCCTTTCTGCTCCATATTTCTTTGCATACTGACTGTGGTGCTTCTCTTCAAAATATAGTTTGGGTGCCTATGCCCCCATTGATTCCCTTCCACCTGACAGACTCCTTTTCACCAGCCCATGCTCTGGTAATCTCGAAACTAGACTTTTGCAATGCACGCTACATGGGACTGCCCTTGAAGATGGTCCGGATGTTTCATTTGGTCCATAACAGACCAGCCAGGCTTTGATGGGGACCAGTAGATGTGAGCTCATAACACCAGCCCTGTACCATTTGCACTGGCTACCAATTGAAGTCTGGACTCAATTTAAGGTGTTAACGATGACTTATAAACACTAAATGGTTTAGGGCCTGAGTATTGGAAGGAGCATCTCCTTCTGTTTACACCTGCTCAACCCCTAAAATCTTCGTCTGAGGTCCTTCCTCGGGAGCCCTCTTTGAAGGAGATCAGAAGAGTGGCTACCCAGAAAAGGGCCTTCTCTGCAGTAGCATCTTGGCTTTGGAACTTGCCTTCTGGAGAGGTGCACCTGGCACTGATGCTTTATTCATTTCAGCGCCAGGCCAAAGCCTTTTTATTTTCCCTATATTTTAAGATTTAATGCTGCTTTGATAATTGATTTTATTGTATATTTATATTCTATTCATGTGTGCTGATTATTGTATTGCCATACTAAGGCCCTTGGTATTGGATGGGATATAAATGTTTTAAATAAAATAATAATAAAAAACTGTTGCACAAGCAAGACCCACCACTTATACAGTGCACAAATAGCACTTCCTAGGGGGAAGGTATTCATTTCTGGAAGGTAGTAGGTTGGCAGGTCTCCCTTATCGATTAGATTTCTCTCACTTTTTCTTTTTTTAAAAAAGAAAGAACTCAAAGTGCCTTACATAATTCTCCTCCTCCTGCTCTCAGTCTTATCCCCTGTGAGGTAAGCTGGGCTGAGAGTCTGTGACAGGCCCAAAGTCACCCAGTTGACTGCATGGCTGAGCAGGGAGTAGAACCCAGGTCATCTGAGTCCCAGTCCCACACTTTTAACCACTAGACCACACTGTCTCTATAAATAACTATTTAGCTATTATACTTTTCAACTGCCCAGGCCCCCAGTAATTCAAGATCTATGTGTACAACACATTAAAAACAAACAATGCTAACAATAGAACAATTAAAGGTTTTTGTTTGTAGATTCTAACCATATGGTCCTTCTGGTCATCTTTTTAGTCTCTCCCCCCCCCCCCCAGGAATGCTTTATTGTAATTTTTATGTTTTTTCCCCATTTTTTCCTATCTACTTGCAGTCCTGTTACTGTCTACTTAGAAGCTGATTCTGCTGGATTCAATGGGGCTTACTCCTGTGGTAAACAGGTATAGGATCACAGCATTGTGTTTAGTTACATAAGCCATTCTAAGTCCCAGAAGGGGGGCAGAAAAATGTTTTCAACCAGTCTGAATGCTGGGAGCTTCAAGACCTTTTTTCTAGCTAAACACATGGTTGTACCCAAAATAAGGTTTACCCAAAATAACTGCATTATAGCCCTGTGCACCTAATTTTGCAGCAGGAAAGAGTAACTATTTAAGGATGAGCAATTAATTAGCTGCACATATGTACAGTGAAGCTACTAGGGTGTTGTTTTAGTGGAGTTTTTAATGAACAGCACAGTGCTCAGATTGTAAGGATGGTTCAGACCCCATATCTTTTCCACTGCCTGCTGTTTTGAAGGTTGTGGGGAACCTAATGCCTTATACTGCACCTGAAGGCCAAACTAGACAAGTGGGTGGGATAAGATCTCTCTAGTGGGTTGTTTTCTAAGCTAGATGCGGCTCCTGGGAGCCCCAATTTGCAAGAAGGCACAGAGGCAGGGGGTTGCCCTCCCCAGGAACTGCAATTTGTCCCATGAAATGGCATCCCCTCACTTGGGACATTGTTCAGACTGGGACAAGAGTTTAAAGGGGAGGTTTAAATCCCACCCCCTTCCCCAGAAGCCTTTAAGAAATCTACGAGAGATCCCACCATTGCCATTGCGTCTCTAGCTTGGACCTCTACTTTTGCAATTTCAAAAACAGAGGGGACTCACCTCTCTCCAGAATACAGGTGTGGGTATGTGTAGTTGTGAACCAAATACTCACAGATTAGCCTGGAAGAATATAGACCAGCCCCGGAAAGGACAGTTCAGCAATTACTGACTCAGGAACAAACAGCAAGGTAGGAACGGTAGATGATCTTGCAGCGTTTACAGCCAACATTTATACCTGTTAGCATGTCAGTTCACCTCTGGGCCTCCCAGAATGAAGGTCAAAGTCTCCACAAAGAGAAACACCTTGTTTAATTAAAAACCAGACACTCTCTTTTACAGAAAGGGCTTTCTGATTGCAAGCAATGTTTCAACTCCAAGCTAAATGCCACAGTATCAAGCTCCTAGGAAGCACACAAACTGAGTTTGTCTTGACAAACTGTTTGTCAAAACAGCTGTTTATTTGAACCTGCAGCTTTACAGGAATAAACTCAAGAACTTGCTTTCAGGTCAGTGTTTAGCCCGGCAAAGAGAATCAATGTGGTACATCACCTGTAACAATGGGCCAGAGAAGGTCTGGTTCAAATCCCCTTCACAGCCTCAAAACTCATCTTGGGAGTCTCTGAGCTTAGCCCACCTCCCAGATATATTCAGACACTAAAATGCCTGTCTCAATTTCTTGGGGGAAGGGTGGGCAATGAAATCGAACCATTAATAAGGAGAACACTTGTGAATCCAGGAAAATTCTTCAGACTAGAACCAATGCCTTGTATCTTAGAAAAATACACAAATTGAGATGCAGTTGCCTCTAGGGCAAGAGTGTTGAATCTAAGGGCCATGGGCAAAACCTGGCTTGCCAGGGGGTGGGGGGGGGGGCACAGTCCAGTACTGGGAGACAATTGGCCAGAATTTCTCAGACAGCTCCCTTTACCCCAAAAGTCTGGTGGTTTCCCAGCGGTGGTCCTGTTTTTTTTCTCCATTGGAAGAGGTTGAAATGCCTCTCCTAAAGCTTAATTACTGTCTGTAAGCACTTCTGCTTAAAATATGGTGGTATTTCTAGCATTTTGGCCACATACCCATTGCCTTTGGCCCTGCTCCCCACTGGAATGTGGCTCGAGAGAGATTCTCTGGGATTGAATTTGGCCCTGGGACTGAAAGAGAGTGAGCTCTAGACCAGGCCACCTGTACCCCTCCTCTCCCACATTTGAAGTGTGATCCTAGAAGGGCTTCTGTGCATTGTAAACTCTGTATCCTTTGACATATAACACTAATGATTACTGCTTGCACATCCTAATGCTACAGAGTTCCTTCCCTATGGAGACCAAGCTTGCCCACATTTTATGGTAAGGACCATTTATTTTCACAAATATGTCGCTGGTTGAGCCAGAAACATAAATTGTTAAGTTTCTGAAGCCAACTACGTTATCAATTTCAGTTTTGTCCTCCCACCCAGCAAAAAATGTGCAGTTTGCAAGGAAGTTTTCAGAACTGCCATCACCTGCTTATCAGCAACCAAGGTTTCTAAACTCTCTTTTTTAAGGCAATGATCAGGTTATAAGCATGTGATAATGCTGTGAATGGTAACAGCTGCTGTGTCCGCTGCCTGAAGCAGACACACAGAGAATGTCCTGTGATCGTGACGCACCAGTACAGAATTAGGCCACGTACTGTTCTCAGTTTTGGGGCCTGCTGCACCAAGGGAAGGTGGGGAGCCCGTAAAGCACAGTTCTAACTTAGCTTCTTGGGAGAAAGGCCTCCAGGGAGCACCTGCATCCTAACAAGGATTTAAGGCCGACCAAGCTGGGGTTGTAGCTCAGCAGAAGAGCCGATGCTTTGCCTGCAGAAGGTCCAAGGGTCAGGCTGTGCTCTCCCCCGAGACTGAGCAAGCAAAGGCTGCAGCCTGGAACCTCGGAGATCAGTGGGACAAAATGGCACAGGGTGGCACAGGAGGGCATTTCATGGCATGCCTGCTGCATTCAACAAGTTTCATTTGAATTAAGAGCGTTTGAGCTGTTAAATCACTTTCACCTGTTTCTAATGGGAAAATGTGGTTTTTTTTTTTTTTTTGTGGTTGCCTGTTGTGACACACCCCGTGTGCACTGGCCACTGAGCAGGCTATACATGTCAATCCTCCTCCCTCGACTTGTTGTTGTTAGTCATGAAGTCATGTCCGACCCATCACAACCCCATGGACAACATTCCCCCAGGCCTTCCTGTCCTCCACCATCCCCCGGAGTCCACCTACACTCACGCCCACTGCTTCAGTGACTCCATCCAGCCACCTCATCCTCTGCCGTCCCCTTCTTCTTTTGCCATCTATTGTGACCAGCATTAGGCTCTCCTCCAAGGAGTCCTTCCTTCTCATTAGGTGGCCAAAGTATTTGCATTTCATCTTCAGTATCTGGCCTTCTAAAGACCAGTCAGGGTTGATCTCCTCTAGGACTGACCGGTTTGATTGCCTTGCGGTCCAAGGGACTCGCAGGAGTCTCCTCCAGCACCACAATTCAAAGACCTCAATTCTTCGGTGCTCAGCCTTCCTTATGGTCCAGCTTTCATGGCCATACATTGCAACTGGGAAAACCATAGCCTTGACTATACGCACTTTTATTGGCAGGGTGATGTTTCTGCTTTTTAGTATGCTATCTAGATTTGCCATAGCTTTCCTCCCCAGGAGCAAGCGTCTTTTAATTTCTTGGCTGCAGTCCCCATCTGCGGTGATCTTGGAGCCCAGGAAAATAAAATCTGTCACTACCTCCATTTCTTCCCCATCTATTTGCCAGGAAGTGAGAGGACTGGATGCCATGATCTTAGTTTTCTTAAAATTGAGTTTCAAGCCAACTTTTGTGCTCTCCTCCTTCACCCACATCAAGAGGCTCTTTAGTTCCTCTTCACTTTCTGCCATGAGAGTGGCATCATCTGCATATCTGAGGTTGTTGATATTTCTCCCTGCAATCTTAATTCCAACTGGTGCTTCATCTAGCCCCGCCTTTCTCATGATGTGCTCTGCATATAAATTAAATAGGCAGGGCGACAGTATACAGCCTTACTGAACTCCTTTCTCAATTTTGCACCAATCAGTGGTTCCGTGTCCAGTTCTCACTGTTGCTTCTTGACCCACATATAGGTTTCTCAAGAGATAAATAAGATAGTCAGGTACTCCCATGTCTTTAAGAACTTGCCACAATTTGTTGTGATCCACACAATCAAAGGCTTTAGCATAGTCAATGAAGCAGAGGTAAAAAAATTTCTGGAACTACATAGCTTTCTCCATGATCCGGCGTATGTTGGCAATTTGATCTCTAGTTCCTTTCCCTCTTTGACATCCTGCCTGTACTTCTGGTAGTTCTCAGTCCACATACTGCTGGAGCCTAGCTTGTAGGATTTTGAGCATAACTTTGCTAGCATGTGAAATGAGTGCAACGGTGCAGTAGTTTGAACATTCTTTGGCATTGCCCTTCTTTGGGATGGGAATGTAAACTGACCTTTTCCAATCCTGTGGCCACTGTTGAGTTTTCCAAATTTGCTGGCATACTGAGTGTAGCACTTTTACTGCATCGTCTTTTAAGATTTTGAATAGCTCAGCTGGAATACTGTCACCTCCACTAGCTTTGTTGTTGCTCAGACTTCCTATGAAACGTTCCCTTCATATCTCCAATTTTCTTGAAGAGATATCTGTCTGCCCTATTCTATTGTTTTCTTCTATTTCTTTGCATTGTTCATTTAAGAAGGCATTCTTATCTCTTCTAGCTATTCTCTGGAATTCTGCATTCAATTGGGTGTATCTTTCCTTTTCTCCCTTGCCTTTTGCTTCCCTTCTTTCCTCAGCTATTTGTAAAGCTTCCTTAGACAGCCATTTTGCTTTCTTGCATTTCTTTTTCTTTGGGATGGTTTTAGTTGCTACCTCTTGTACAATGTTGCGAACCTCCGTCCATAGTTTTTCAGGCACTCTGTCAATCAGATCTAATTCCTTAAATCTATTTGTCACCTCCCTCGACTGATCATGTGTAACAGATGTTTCTCGCTGGATCAGACCGAACAGTGGCAGCAAATGCGTCAAGCAAGAGGAGCATATTAGCGATGGGTTCCCACGAGAATCCCGTTTGCCTCCAATCCTATTCCGCGCAGCTGCCGATTCTCTGTTACTTCTGGGGACTGCAGCGCATTCAGCCACAGCAACCCTCCCTTTCTTTCTTGCCACGTTTCTCGTCCTTTTTGCAAAGCAATCGTGATGCGTCAGGTAAGCGTTTTCAAAATCAACATCCGTCGCACTGAATGGACGGGAAACCGGGACTACATTTCCCACGTGTCTTTGCTACTGCAGAGGCGGAAGAAGAGGCACGCCGGCCTTCTGGTTGCGGGAAGCGGTTGCGGGCGTAGGGCTGGTGAGTAGCTCGTTTGTTCCTTGAGTAAGGGGCTCCTGGGTAGCAGCCGCGTGGAAGCTAAGCCAAAACCTGCGTGGGCTGCAAGCCAACAACACTCCCCCGCAAGAGCTAATATGTTAGCACAGCCTTTTTCCCACCTGGTGCCCTCCAAAATCGTCCATGTCTTCGCCCGATCCAGCAGTATTTCTGTTAGGCAACCGATCGCACGCTTAGCCTGGCTTGATCAGTCAAAATATCGCGCAAAACGCCAAAGAGACGAGCAGTTGCTCAGCTTGGTCCCTTCGACGTGTTTTGGACCACTGCTCCCATCAGACGTAGCTAATATGGCAAATGGTGGGGATGCGGGCAGTTATTGTCCTCAACAGGGACGGCTGGAGTAGTCCCAGGTTAGACTGATAGTTGCTGACCGCTGTTGCCCATTCGTTTTCTTTTACGTCTTTTCCCTACAGGTTTGCCTTGCACTCTCTCACCACCATCACCAAGAGCGTAACATAGTTTTTTGGTCACCAGCCATGATAAAGGACAAGGAAGCATTTCAGAGACTCAGTTACCTCTACCAGGTGGGAAGAATGAGAAGTGATATTCACTAGGCAGCTTTTTCCCTTAAATTGTTGTTATTTTTAATAATACAAAAACAAAATAAAACCATGAAAATAAAATATTAGTTTTCCTATATGAATTTTTCATAGATCAGTTATGATAGATGCATATGCAATATATGCACTATATAAAGTAAGGCATAGTGCTATCCTTAGGCATAGTTAAATACAGGCTTCAGCAAAGGCAGATGCAACTGAGCAGCTTGTGTGAGTGGGTTGTGTGTGACCCTTAGAGTTCACTCCTATGCAGGTTTGGTGGGAGGAGTGTGACAGCTTCCAGCATTCCCCAGCCATTGGTGCTAGCTGGGCAATTGTGGGAATTTTATCTGTTTCAGTATGCCAAAGACTGCCTTAAGGCTCTTTCTAGTTGACTGTTGTCACCTTGTTTACAAAAGCTCATGACACCCCCAGAAGCAGGGATGAGTTGATATGTTATTTTTCCTCTCCTTTTTTTTTTTAAAAAGGCCTGAAATGTGTTAAAGATTGTACAATTCTCAGTGTTGGACTCAGTGCCAAATCTCAGTATTAAAACAGGAAAATAATAATTTTGTTTTTGTAGAATGTGGATGCAACAGAGGCTGGCAAGACTAACTCATTATAGAAAATAATTCCCTCCATGGAGGGTGTGTGATACTGTCCATCTTGATGTGCTGACTTAGCACCAGTGGCTGCTGGTTAGGCATGAACTCCAGCCCCTCTGATTGAATTAGATCTTGCGTTCATTTGTGTTCAGAATAATAATCTGAATCACTAGCTGTATTTATCCATGGGTATTTTTTATTCTCCCAAAAAGCTCCACAATTCTTTCCTCAGCTTTTGTATCCTTGCAACAACCCTGTGAGGTAGATTAGACTCAGAAATAGTGGCCAGTTCAAGGTTATCTGGTATGTTTTGAACCTGTATCTTTGTGTTGTAACTGCTAAACCATGCTATCTCTCATTTATTTATTTGGGATATTGTTAACCTGTCTGTTACTCTGGGTTTCTGGACAGCTTACAATAAATACAGCAATACAAATATCATAAGTACCCCAAACAATAATAAAACTAAAATAACCCACGGCTGTAATAAAAGATGATTAAAAACTATTAAATGTTTAAATGTTAAAATACTGGGTGAATAAAAAGGTCTTGACCTGGCACCAAAAAGCATATAATGACAGTGCCAGGCAGACCTCTACAGGGAGCACAGTCCATAGCTGGGGCACCACTGCAGAGAAAGCTTAAATTGCTTGACCTTCTAATAATCATTATTTAATAATAATTTTGTTAAATAACAATCTATGTATATCTTCCTATCTGCTGAGGAGCAACAGCAGTTCCCACAGTGCTTACAAAAATTAATGTGTGTATTATGACTTAAGCTTTTGTGAGTCCACTTCATGAAGTGTTATCCTCAGTTTACAATCTGTGGCAATTTGATTGAAATTCAAAACTGTAAAAGAAGCACAGTGACCACTCCCAACCTGAGTAATTAGTGATATTGCCATCATAGTTAGGTAAGTCTGTGATTGTTTGTCAGGATGGCTACATATTGCCTCCAGGATTGGAGGCAGTGTGTTTCCATGCACCAGCTGCTACACAATAGGTGTGGGAAGGTGCTGTGACATTCATGGTCTCCTTCTGTGGGCTTCTCACAGGCAGCAAGTTGGGCCCTACATGAACAGAATGCTAGACTAGAGAGGCTTTTGGTTTTAACTTAATTCCTGTACTGTGGCAAACTGCAAAGCCACTTAAATCACTTTCTGCTTTTGACATGGTAATTTATGGCCTGTGAGAGCTAACACCGTGGAATGTTTGCTCTTTAAGTTGCTAAAGGACTCTCTGCTGTTTTTATGACGTATGGCCCAGATAGTCCATTGCAAGGCCTCATTGCGTGGTGTGGCTCTGGGCATATGGAATGCACAAGACTTGGGGTGCTTCTGTGGGAGGCCGTCAGCAATAACGTTTAACCTATCCACTCCCCATGACAGGCAGCACATTGTATTCTTGCCCAAAACCCCAACAACCAGGAACTGGCCCGCTTCTACTGCCACACACAGACCAGCATCAGCCGACGGCTCGTCTTAAGACAGTGAGTGTTGATGGGTGGCGAGTTAACGGGAAGAGAGGCTGTGCTTGCCATTGAAGCATGGCTGTTTCCAAGCTGGTGCTATTCCTGATGTGTGGAGGGACCTTTCAGTCCACTTGGAAACATCTGCTCAGTGCCAGGAAACTGCCAGGGAAAAGCAGCTGTATGGGTGAGGGGACCCCTTCCTGCTTCAGTTCAAGGGACCCTGGTGAGAGGGAGTTTTTCTTTCCCTTGAGGGTGGTCTGTTTGGATCCGTTTTCTTTCTCTCTCTCACTGCAAATTTAATGTGGATAAAGTGTCCTATTGTGAGGTCTCTTGAAACAAACTGTTCAGTTAATTCTTTAAAGTGAGTTGGTACCTGATATGGTTGACAATCCTATTAATGTGTCTTCTGCTTGTTTGATTTTCAGACATTTTAAATGAATGGTAATTGAGTTAATGTTGGACTATAACACATTATAATGTATGTTTATTGCATTTGTTCAGTAAACCATTTTGAGCATAACATGTTGTGAAAAAAAGTGGTATTCAAATGCTGTGATTTTGACTAATAGAACATGAGGTCTATATGCCTAGAGAGGTTCTGGCTGCAGTCCAATTTCCCATGCTACCTTTGCTCTGTTCCCTTAAACTGATCCTAAAAACCTCCTTTTAACCTGACCTGGACCATTACTGTCTCTCCTTTTCTCATAATGTTCTTTAGTGAAAATGCTTTATAAATACTACTGATGCATATCTACTAAGGAGTAAGCACAATTTAGTTGAACAGCCAAGTGGATTGCATATGATTCATCAGTAAGTCCACAAAGTGTAGTTGAATAAAACTCCCAACGGGAAGGCCAGTGTTATTTCCGTATCACAAATGGGAAGTCTGAGACACACCGGATTGCCAACAGTTCATAGCTGTGTTGATCGAGTTCAGTTTCCTGGCTTCTGGTGTAGCTTTTGCCCTTAACCTGCCCAGGTCGGGCTGCCTGTTTCCAATTAGCCTTCACCCAGCTGCTGCTCACTCCAGCATTTTGCCTTCTGCCTGCCTTCAGATTCTAAGCCCTCGGCACAACAACGTCACTCATATAAAGTGTCTCTAGCATACCACAAGGCCAAAGATGAGGGGCAGCCATATTGTGGTCCCCCAGGGATGTTTTGGCCCAGGACTTCCATGATCCCACACCACTGGCTGTGCTGGCTAGGGCTGATGGGAGTAGTAGGCCAAAACCTCTCCGAGCCAGAAGTTGCCCACCTCTGAAGAGGGACCAGACAATGATGCAGAGGGTTGGCCATGAGCAGTGAAAGCCCCTGCCTGATTTCTTGCATTGGTATTGAACCAAGGGTGGTCAGAAGCAAGCTACATTTTATTTTATCTACTTTGTTTTGGCTATGAGTCCCCTTTCAGGCTAAACAAGGCCTCCAGGGCTGAAGCTAAGTGTGCTTGGGTCATGCACCACCCAGAGTTCTGTGGAAGAAAGTACAAACCCATATTTTTCCATGTATAAGACGATACTTTTTCTTTAAAATAGTTACATAAAAATGGAGGGGTGTCTTATACACGGGGGGGCTGGGAGGAGAACCGCGGGCACACTGTGGGGGGGAGACTGGTGCTATTGCGGGTGCGCTCGGGGGGAGGTGGGTGCGGGCGCGCACAGGCAGGGAGGCGGCGGGCACACACGCACAGCAGCAGCTTGCTCACTTGGAGATCAGTAAAAAAGTAGGGGGCGTCCTATACATGGGGATGTCTTATTGTCGGGAAAATACAGCAAGTAAAATAAAACACATACTGGCTACACCAGCATTCCTCTAGTTGGCAGTGTGGCGATGAAGATGCAGTCCTGCCTTGTAGGACAGCAGTGGCTGCGGTTTTAAGGCAGCCTTTCCCAACATGGTGTCCTCCAGATGTTTTGGACCATAACTGCCATCAGACCCAGTCTGCATTGCAATGCTCAAGGCCCATAAGAGTTGCTCTCTAAGGACCCCAGGTTGAGGGAAAGCTGCTCTAAGGGGTTTTGCGTGTGCATGTGTGAATTATATTGATATCCCATCTTTTCCCATCTGGTTTAGATACTCCTCTACATTTTACCCTCACAACAACCTTGTGAGGTAGGTTAGGCTGAAAGTCAGTGACTGGTCCAGAGTCATCCATTGGCCAAGTGGGGACCAGTTCTGGATCTGCTGCATTCCGGTTCAATGCTAACCACAACATCACACTGGTTCTCAACTACTTTCAGCACTTGCGCAGAGAGCTGAGTGAATACAGAGCACTGGTGCTTGTGCGCGTGTGCCTGCATGTGTGAGTGTGTGCAGAACTACATTTCCCAGTCCCCTGAACACACATTTGCCCCTTCTCATTTCTCTTTGGCTTGCAGGGACCCCTCTGTGAAAAGAACCATCTGCAAATCTTGCTTCTCCCTTCTGGTCCCCGGGGTCAGTTCAACCGTCCGCCAGAGAAGTAAGTGGTCCCATCTCTTCCACCCTGTTTGTACTGCTGCATGGATCGTTCTGCCAGCAAGTCCTGGCTCCAGTGGTCCGTAAGTCTGGCACAGTATTTTCCTCACAGTATGTGGGTGCGATGCAACTGGTTGATAAAGGACTGGCGTTACGATCCTGCCTCCCAGTCCTTGTTACTAGGCAAGCTGCCCTATTTTGCACCAGTTGAAGTATCCAGAACATTTTCAAGGGACGCCCCACATAGAGAGTGTTACAGTAGCCCAGATGAGAGATTAGCAGGGCATGGATAACTGTTGCTAGGTTCCGCAGCGGTGCACAAGCTCTTTCTGCCCATGCAGAAGCTGTTGGCACTGCCTTCAAGCAAAAATGAATGTGATACCAAAACTGCTACGAATTCGAGCTTAAAGTTCTTCTACCAGTAACTAAGCCTTAGGAAAGGCATTTCAGGCTTTTGGAATGAGGAAAGAGTACACAAAAGTGGGAAACCTGCAGTGAGCAGGGGCCAAGGGACTGTTGGAGTCCAGGTAAAGGGCTGGGCTTCTGGGGAACCATAGAGGACCAAACAGAGAACACCAAGGGCTGCATTTTGGCCCCAGGGCTAAGCTTCTCTACCCTTGCACGATAAGCTCTGCTTCCTTTGAAGAGAAGGATCAAGAGTGCTTTGCCATATAATAGTTCCTTACAATATTGAGCAGGTGTTCCGTGCAGAAGCGAGCATGCAGGCAAGAGATACTAGTCCCAAAGTACCGACAGCACTGCAGAATCCCCCAAACTGCTGCCAGCTGTTCCCATTCTTTCCTTGTACCGTTTTGGACAGAGGTCTGATAAGTTTCCAAGTAAGGTTGGGTGGCACCTCAGGCCTCGTAGCAGCTGTGACTTGCCCTTTCCGTTGAAGCTGCCATTTTCCTTTGTGGAACACAAGGCTACATCCACCTCAGGGCCCAGCGAGGTCCCAGTTGCAGTGGAAGAACTGGAGGGCAGAAAGTGGGCGCATGTTCCATGTAGCTTTCGTCCATGGCCTTCTGCATCACCTTATTTATTTATTTATTTATTTTATTTAAAACATTTCTATGCCGCCCCCATCGCAACAAAGCCTCGGGGTGGATCACAACAAAAACAAAAACAAAATCATACAAAAATTTATACACTAAAAATATTAAAACCCGGTGCATCTCAGCTTAATTTTTTTTAAAAAATTCTACATAATAAATTAACACTTAAAATAAGTTTTAAATAAAAAGGTCTTAGCCTGGCGCCGAGAAACAAGTAAAGACAGCACCAGGCGGACCTCTCTGGGGAGCGCATTCCATAGGTGGGGTGCCACCGCAGAGAAAGTTAACAGTGGCCTCCTGTATGCTTTGGAACTTGATTCTGTTATGGGTTCTTCCGTTCAGCTTCTGTTTTAAGTAGGATCTCGGGACTGAGCATTTCTGAAGGAAGGCTGAGGAACTGCTGATCTAGAGCCTTGTAGTTAAAAGTTTGGGAGGAAGGTCGGTCAAGCCAGGGAAGGAGAAATTGGAGGAGTCTTTCTAGGCTTGCTTGACTCATTCAGTCCTCACTTCTCCAACCAGAGTCCCGTAACCAGCGGTGGACTGCTGTGCGGTGTCTCAACTGCAGCCTAAGCAAGCGTTTCCTCAGCAACCCTGACTATAAGCTGTGGTCAGAGCAACCTGAAGCATTGCTGGAGAATCAGACGCCAGTTGGTGAAGGAGCAAAAGGTAAACACACATGATTATGGGTCTTTAGTGAGCAGATACCAGGAGCTTAGGAAAAGGATGCTTGCTTTCTTCTGAAGATCTCCCCTAATCCTCTTGGATAAGCTGACAGTCTCCTGCTTTTTTCCATTGTCTGGAGGCCTTGAAATCATATTCGGCATAACTCACTGGAGTAGGTTTGTTTGGTAGAGAGAGGCTGATAAGGGGGATGTAGCTGTAGAAATGTTTTTTGGGAGGATGCTTCAATGGAATCATCATGGGCCATTCGCTCCCTTGTGTTCCACTGCAGGCCAAACACCTAGCGCTGCCCGGCAACCACCCAAGGTCCCCCAGATGGAAAAGGCAACAGCCCCGAGTTCCAGATCCTGCAGCCACCCTGCCTCCGAAGAGACCACAGTGGGCATCAAATCTAAGGGACAGAAGGGCCCCAGTGGGAAGTGACCCCCTTCTTTGAGAACAGGCAGGCAACTGTGGCTTGGTAGCAAATGGTGGGGAGCAGGAGAGGGGCCTGAGCGTCAGCAGAGAAATAAAATCTGGCCTATGAAAGCCCAGCTAACTACTTCAGAAGTTGGGTGGCTAAAGCAAGATGACTTTGCAGAGAAGGATCCTCTTGTACAGGGTGCCCAGTTTTGAGGCAGCACGGAAAGCGGTGGCATGTTGAGCCGATAGTGGTGTGGTGAGACAGCGTTGCTCGACAGAACTGCCTGTGTCCCCGTTCTCCCACCGTGTCCAGCTAGGGATCCCGTTGCCTTCTGCAGCTCTTCTGTGACCACATGAAGGCCCCTCTTCGGCTTGGGCACTGCCTGGATTTGCCAGCTGCGACATCAGCTTGCGGGGTGGGTAGGTATGCAGCTACGTAAGTCCTGGGCTTGGAGATTGGTGAGCGCATCCCCATTGTTGCTGGAGGTGAAGAAATGGCAACGGGAAGGATAGGCCTGATCCAGCTTCACTGTTGTATAAGAGAATACTGTTGAAAAACTGAAAATAAAATGTTCATTTTTATACTGCTGTCTCTGGTTGCTTGATTCCATTTACCCTTCTGCTGGTAGCAGACTGGTTAAGCCAGAAGCATCCTCAGTGAAGAATACAGGATGGCACAGCCTCACTTTGAGCCCAACTCTTGTCAGGAGGTGCAAGGCGTAGTCAAACAGCCGCTTATGTCAAGAGCACCCATACGTTAAAAAAACTCCAGTCACGTGTCTTCCATGAGCAAGCATGGCAAAACACCCATATCAATTAAAAATCTTTTGGAATTCCTCAAAGTTGTCAGATACTGAAAGCTGCCTCTCCTTTCACAGCAAGACTGTAAATCTCTTTGCCTTCGGAGACAAATAAGAGGTTTTTTGGAAAGGGATTTTCCATGGCAGTCTGCTAAGGGTTCCCAATCCGTATTGGCGTCCACAGTCCTGCTTTTACTTCAAAAATAAAAGCGGTCAGCATCAGCATTCTCCTTTCATGAAGCATGTGAACAGGATGCACAGTTTAATTCGCTCTTACACACATGAGCTAGTTTAAAGGGCTATATTGGATTCTTTAAAAAAAATGGCATCTTCACTTACCTCAGCACGGTTGGCTGGCTGGGGGGATGCTGGGAGATGTCGTTCATCACATCTGGGGGGCACCAGGCTGGGGAAGGCTGGCATGGTACCTGGCTGAGGTAGAAGTAAATGGAGAAAGCCAGTCATCCCTGCTCCTTGGTGATCTTAAGGAGATGCCTGCCCATCATCTTTATTACAAGAAATTGTCTCCTGCCTTTCATGTCAGCTTGGAAACCTGAATGCAAAAACAAGAAGTGGTTAAAACAGCAAGTTAAACCGTGACTGATATTGCAGTTTTTCAGGCTGGAAAAGCACTTTAGGAATTAATTCCTAGGTGCCCTGTGCTAGTGCTGAGAATCAGGACCAGTGCATGGAACAACCCTGGCTTTTGTATCATTGCACATGCGTGTGCAAAAGAAACTTGTGCAAGAAAAAAGAACCCTTTTTGTGATGTACATCTATACGAATTCCAGCATGGCCCAGTCGGCAACAGTGGTTCTGTCTCCTGAACGTCTTCCCACGACTCACAGAATTTGCCAGCTGCGGCCACACCTGGACAGGCAGAGCCTGGCCACAGTCACCCACACTCTGGTAACCCCCCAGCTGGAGTACTCGCATGTGCTCTGCATGGGGCTGCCCTTGCAGACAGTCCGGCAACTTCATCTGATACAGGGGTCTCAAACTCAGCTTACCTGGGGGCCGCTGGAAGTAGGGTCTGGGTGAGGCTGGGCCGCATCTAGCGGTGGTGGTGGACCGCTCATCCCGCGGCCGGCCTGGGCACCGCCGGTGCTTTGAAGGCCGTAGGGCCCCTCCCCCGTGCCCCGCCGGCCCGGCAAGTGGCCCGCGGGCCGTGAGTTTGAGACCCCTGGGCTAGTACAAAGCAGGGTGGGGCAACTGCTGATGCAAGCGGGACCACATCCCCTTGTGACGCCAGCACTGGATCATCAGCGTTGGCCGCCAGTTGAGCTCCAGGCCCATTTCAAGGTGCTTGTTCTTACACATAAAGCCGTAAACAGCTTGGGACCAGGATACCTGAAGGACCGCCTGCTCTCGTATGCAATTCCAGTGGTACCTTGGCTCACGAACTTAATCCGTTCCAGGACTCTGGTCGTGACCCAAACTGGTCATGAGCCAAGTCAAATTTCCCCATAAGGTTCAATGTAAATAAGGTTAATCTGTTCTGTAACCATTTTTTAAATCAGAAAAATGTGAAGCAAAGTGACAACAACAAAGATCATGGCCATAAGCCGCCCCGAGGTTTCGGCAAGGGGCGGCATAGAAATGTTATAATAATAATAATAATAATAATAATAATAATAATAATAATAATAATAATCTCCCCTGACCCCAAGCACAAGCACGGCCATCTCGCCACCCCTCTAGCACGATCGAGATCATGCCTGTCATCCCTGCACGCGCCCGTCATCCCGGTGTGCTGGGGGGTGGGGGGGGGAGATGGGCATGATCACAGGTGCACTGGGGGAGGGAGAGATGGGCGCAAATGTTGCGCTAGGGGTGGGGAGATGGCCACGATCCCAGTTGCTTTCATGCAGGGAAGGCGTGCGTGATCAGAGGCGTGCTGCTACAGGAAAGATGGGAGCAGCAAAGCAGAGCCGCGGGGGAGATGGCCGAGATGCCGCCTGTCTTTCCTGCAGCCGCGTGCCTCTGATCAGGCACGGCTTCCCTGCATGAAAGCAACTGGGATCGTGGCCATCTCCCCATTCAGGGGGTGAGGGGGAGATGGCTGCGATCTTGGTCGCCACCCAAAGTGGTGTTCGCAGCTCAAGTCAAAATTTTTCAGAAATTTTTGTTCGTGACCCAATTTGTTCATGAACCAAGGCGTTCGTGAGCCGAGGTACCACTGTACCTGGCTCCTAAGATTGGTTTACCAGGCTCTCCTGAAAGAGCCTTCCTCCCATCTGTGGAACAACCTCCTGAACGCAGTTTGCCTGGTACCCTCATTACAACCTTTTTGGAACCAGGCAAAAATAACTTTATTTTCTAGACATTTTAATAATTGATTTTATTTTGATAATCTTAAAGGTTTATATAGTATTGTTGTTTTAATCTATACTGTTTTAAATCAGCTGTATACTGTTTTTTTTTTCTTTTTGGATATTGTTATGCATTTTATTTGATCTTTTTTATTGTTAGATTGTGTTTTTATTCTATTGTAATCTGCTTAGAGAGCCCTTGGGCTAATAATGCAGAATATAAGTTTAATAATAATATATAAATATAAATAAAGATTCTGCCCAGTCATCTTTTTGTGCCTCTTTCGGAGTTATTGGTTACTACGTAGTCTCCTCCCAAGGTGTGTGAGCAAACAGCCTGATGACTCATTGTTCTTGAGATCAATTCTGCCAGTTTCTTGCTCAGATCCCAGGTAAAGAAGATGCAGTCTGACGAACTGATGAGCCAGAAAAGAATAGGACATGAATCAGATCATGGCACTGAACTATTCTCAGGGGGTTTTGCTTTTTTAGTATGGCCACTCCCTCTGCTAGCTAATGAGATCCTAACCTTAAATGGGCATTTCTTGGTTAGAGTTCTTTGGAAGAACCAGATCTGTGGATGGGGTTGCTCTGGTTGACATAGTTTGCTTGGACTTTCAAAAGACTTTCGGGAAGATTACTCACAGAAGAGCAAATGTAGCAGTGATGAAATAAATAGGGAGGTCTTGTTGACTGATAGCTGGTTAAAGAACTGAAAGCAAAGAGTACAAATAAACATAGGGAGCCGTGCTGTGGCAGGGTGCTGTGGTAGCCTTAGCAAGAGATGCTGGGATTGAATCCCGGGCTTTCTACATGCAAAACACGTGCTCCGTCACACTGAATTATGCCCCCTTCTCACAGTGAAGGGATTGAGGGGTGCCCAAGGATTTATATTGGTGCTCTTTAATTTGTTCATAAATCATCTTGGGTTTGGAGCATGCAAATGTATTCACAGCGCCACCTTATTTAGGATACTTAAGGGGGGAAGGACTATGAAGAGCCCTTAAAAGGATATTTCCAAACAGGGGAAACGAGCCTTAGAATGACGAACGAGTGATGTAAGCAAGTGTAAAGTGATGCATATTGCGGGGTGTGGGGGAATCAAACCTTCCTGTATCTGCTGGCTGGCAATAAAAACAGGAAAGAGCTCTTGGTGTTGGTGAAACATCAACCCTGAGTAGGCATGCTGTCAAAAGGGCAAATTCCATAGTGGGCATTACTAGGAAAGGAACCAAAAATGAAACTGCAAATACCGTAATGCCTTTATACAACCCTCTAGTGTAGCCACACATGGGATACTGGCACATGTCCAGTCAATGCATCATACCCAGTCACTTACGTTGCAGAGCGGTACAACTTCTTTGCACAGCACACAGTTTAACTGGAACTTGTTGGTGCAAAACAAGTTGGCCCCCAGTTCTGATGGCTTCAAAACGGGACTGGACATATTCATGGAGGATTAGGCTGCCAATGGCTGCTGGTCTTCATGGCAATATGCCACCTCCGGAATCAGAGGCAGTTTGCCTCTTAATGTCCACTGCTGGAGGATCCCAGCTTGTGCACATGCATGTTGTTATCGACAACAGTGGTGTTGTGTCGCCTTGTGGCATTCCTATGGGCATCTGGTTGGCCTCCGTGAGAACAGAATGCTAGACTAGATGGTGTTTGGTCTGATCCAGAACAGCTCTCCTTATGTTCTTGTGCTTGTGATGCCCAAGAGACTTCTGGCTGATCATGAGAAGAAGAGAATGCTGAACTTCCTATCCGCTCCAGCAGGATTTTATATTCCATGGATCTGCAGCTGTAATAGCTGTTGATGAGGTAAAATGTAAACCAGTGGGTCAGAAAGGGGGTCTATAAAATTGAAGAGTTTGTCCATCAATACAAATAGGTTCTGTTCCCATACCCAGGACTCAGGATGGTAGTGGGATCTATTGTGTTTTTTCTTTAATTGGTCTTTAGCTGCACTTCAGTTTCTCTAACAGCAGGAAGTCAAAATTGTAAATTGAAAAACAGTGGAATACTAGGTGGAATACTATTTTAGGTGGAATACTATTTCCAGGTATGACAAGGATTTCCAAGACAGCTAACAATATAAAAGAGCATGTAATAATCCATTGAAAGCACAGACACATTAAAATAGTTAAAGTAGTTGATTAACTGGTTAATTAATAGAAGTAGAGGTGAGATACCCTCAAAAGCGAAGAAGTTTAAGTTAATTGTTTCCTAAAATAATAATAATGGAGTCTAGTGGATTGGCAGAGAAAGGGAGTTCCAGAGGCAAAGCATTATGACCCAAAAGGGTCTGGCTTTGCTGGTCACCCACCTCAGCTCAGAAGGTAGAGGCACTGAGGTGGAACTTCTCAAGAAGTTCCTAAGGAATGGGAGCAGGCAGGCAGCCATGTAGCCTGGCTATAAGACAGTTAGGGCTGTATAGGTCCAAGCCAGCCCTGCCTTACATGTGATCATA